GTATAGATCAAAATAGTATGGTCCTGCCATTTATGGCCCCAACGCTTAGCTGCTAGCACAACAGATAAAGCCTTTTTGTGATAAAGTGCAAATTAGCGGCAGCAGGCCAGTCATGCTGCCATGAGGTGTGTTGCCAGTCCCCATCATAGTAAATGCCAGAGGCCGGACTAGACACATCAGTATGAACACTGGTGATAGAGTGGTGGTCAACAAATCTATGTGTGCCATAATGCCATGTATCTCAACCACCAAGCTATGTTCAGTTTAAAGGCAGAAGACAAAATTAACTTATGGGAGGGCATGTGCAAGTTGTGAAGTTCATTTAAAATGCACCGGAGGAAAATTCTACCCCCTTTCACAATCTGGCATGCTCAGGCAAGCTTTCCAGCAAGGGATTCAAAAAGAATGCAATTCAGCAAGCTTCTGCGGCGACAGCTGTAAAATGAGGTTTTAGTACCAATATTAATTCCGAGAATATCTTGGGAGGGCCCCACAAACTTATGCCACGCGATACTAAACCCCAGTCGATTACTGATCCCAGGAAATACACAGTTGGAGTTGAAATGTACTTTCAAATTACCAGTACACCCAATTTTCCCCTGTTTTAATAGTCATAATCTGTTCAATGAGAGAACACTTAATTATATAAGAGCAAAGTTATTGGAATTTTACCTTCAACTTTACACCAATCATCATCAAATCTATACATTTTAATTCCATCTGTGCTATCAAGCTCCTCTTCGAATGGTTCACCAAATATGCTTTTCAATGTGGAAGTCTTGCCAGCACCACTTGCTCCTAACACCATAGCACGCCCTCGATACATTATTTTCATTCCACTTGATAAATCAACTTAAACAATAGAAACAGAAATGTATGTTATGAGGATGTAAATTAATGTTAAACCATTTGCCTGACATGGTACACAAAAAATAGCTTGCAGTGATATTTATGAAAAAGAATGTGTTAATAGATGAAGTGCTTCTGTGGTAACCATGGCCTAATGCTAATTAAAACTAATTAAAATACAATTAGACTCTTGTTTATTTTGTGGTGATTTTTCAATAAAATCAGATATGGGAATGTATAAATGACAAAAGCTGAGTTACCGCAAAATAAACACAAGACTTGTGACCCTTGCAAGGGAACCCTTGCTATTAATATTAATGAGCTTTCCGATGTCGTATAAGATAACATTCTTCTATAATGGCCGTGAATAGCGAGTATGCATTGTCAGTCAAGACTTTGTCGGAGAAACACAGTCATAACCTTGCGTAAGTTTTTTTTAAATCGTTTGTTTATTTTGTTTTATTTGCCAGGTCAATATTCTATTTTACTAACACAATTTTACAACACAATACTGTGAAAAAAAGAAAGTAAGCAAAAACATTGATGACAGACAAGACAAAGAAAAATCTGTGACGCAGGGTCAGTGGTTCGAAAGTGATGATGAGGCTGAAAAATTCGCATCCCCTAGAAAGATTTTCAACTACTAAAACTGATGATGATACCAATGCATCAGACAAGAAGAAAACAAGAACAGGAAATATGTTGCTGTTCGATATCAGCTAGATTAACAACTTGAAAACCATCATAACCATTTCCTTGGGCAGTAATGTCTTGTCAAACTACTCGATGACATGGTTGGGCCAGCAATTTCTACTTTCAATGTTCAAGCCAATTTTGACACTGCCCTTATAATTTTCAATTGTTTCAATCCATTCGCATAGCTTTACACCATCATAACTGTAAAACAAAAGATATTGTATAATTTAGTTACAAATGATATCACCAAGTATTACATCAAGTTATAGCATTGATTCAGGTGTAGGCTCATTAAATATGAAGTGGTTTATTTGCCATCAACAGATATATTCAGTGTTTTTCGATAGCATTTGATGAACTATATTTAGTTTTTACTCTTACACAATAATATTAGTCAAACAAAGTTGATTGCCTAAATACAGTTTGACCCATCACATGCTTTGTTTGTAATGAACGCTGTCATAAATATTACCTGCTAATGACGACAAAGAACACAACTTCGATATAGTGGTCTGGTATATAGGATAGTCATAAACAATAAATGTTTCAATTGAAAGAGGGTAAACTTCATACTAATATTATGTGATGAACTGTGTAATTGTGCTACTATACACAAGGAAGCCATATAACTGAATGCTACTTACCTAGCATCATAAGCAGCAACTAAAGAAGAGACTGTTTTTTTGTGATTTGTACGGTGTCTATCTATGGTCTTCTTGCCACACTTTGGTGCAGCAAATTGTTTTTTCTAACATCGGTCATTTTGTTTCACCAAGATAATAGTTTTATTACTGTAGAACTCTCACAGAGACACTTGAAGGATTATCTTGTTTGTAAACAGTCAGTGTGTAAAGTGGGATAGCAATGTTTGTTAGTGCATTTACATTACAATGAAGCCATGCCTCCATGATGTTCCAGCAGTACTGGATTCAAAATAGCAGCTGTTGTCTTCGATTTCCATGCTCAAGCTTGAAACTAGCCCTGATTACAGTCCTTAAGTTGGCCTCCTTCTGCTGATCATTTGAGCCCCACAGTCCCAAGAAGTCGCATAGACTGAGGATTTGACACCCAAAAATTAATGGTGGAGAGCCTTTCATGCAGTTTTCATGATTGTAATCAGTCAAAATGTATAACAACCAATCTAGTGATCATAGACCCCTTTCTTGTGGTCGAAAAGTGAACCTAACGCAAAAGCTAGTTTTAGGCAACAAAATTACGTTTTGTTTATAAATACGTCAAGAAACAAGCTGTCAACGTATATTTTCTGTTGATGTTGGAAAATGGCAATTTGATTGACCAATCTTATGTAATTTCGCTCCCAGTTAAGGTATTTGGGATATACTAGACGTATTGACCTGCTTATTTTTTAGCTGCAAAGCTGAATTCTCTTAAATAGCCCGTTCCAGCCCTTCACATAGTGTCGAATCGCTGGTCTATACGACTGGACTGTGGGGCTGAATGATCAGCGGAAAGAGGCCAACCTAAAGGAATGTAATCAGGGCTAATTTCGAGCTTGAGCGTTATAGCTGGCATTTTAAATCCAATATTGCTGAAACATCAAGACTGTACTCAGGGATTGCTCGATATTATTCATTATCAGACATGCTTTTAATTAGTTCTATGATATCAGTGGTTAATAAGGTTGGCCATTTTTAGTGTGTGTTTATAATAATGCAGCAAATCTGCAGTGTTTTTTCAGGTTTTTCCAAGTGTAAATTTTGATAAGTACAACTCATTGGGATCGCCGTCACATCAAGTACATTCAAAGTCGCACTGGTCATTCACAAGACGTCTGGATTTTTTAAGAAACTGCTTTGTCACAAAATGATATATATACATGTATGTTAAAGGTGCCAAATATGAAATAATTAGCGGACAGAAAAACATACCTGCGTAGAAATTGAAAGAACAGTGTGACAAAATTGTCACTACTTTGGTGTTGTTTGTTATATTGACTAGTAATTTGTGTATGTAGGTTTTAGTACTGTAAAAGTAATTTAATTGAATAAACTCTACTTAATGGTGCCT